GTGGTGCTGGGGGATTGAACCACGGTCCCTGATGCTTTTGCTAAGCTTGTTCTAAGTAGGTGCTTTAGACCACCGAGCCATCTCTCCAGCCCAACAAAGTAGTGTTGATCAGATAGGTGACACAGAATTTTGGCTTTGACTTACATTTGCTAAACTTTTAACATTATTATTTATGTATTTAGTACAGGATTTCACTACACAGATTAGACTCATAGTGATCCTCCTATTTTCAGCCTCCCAAGTGCTGGGATTACAATGCCACCACGCCCAGTCACAATCACTGGCTCGGTGTGCCCTAGGTGTGGGGCTGGCACTGCAGGCCAGGAATTGAATTCAGGTTGAACTGTGGTCCACTGCATCTGCCTAAGCAGGTGCTTTAATCCACTAAGCTATCTGTTCGGACCTTTATTATTATTTGTAAAAAAAATGTTTGGCTTGGCTTGGTGGTGCATGCCTGAAATCCCAGGACTTAGTGAGGCAGGGGGATTGCCACCAGTTTGAGGCCTGGCTGGACTGTATAGTTGAAGGCCAGCCTATACTACATAGCAAGATGGTCTCAGAAAATAAAATTGTTTTATAGTACCTGGGTTTTGTGTCTTATTAAGAAATACCTTTACAGTTGTATAAGCAAATCCTACCAGTGGTTTTATTTTGACTGGGATATTGAAAGCTGATGTAGATGTTATTGTCAATTTTAACTCAGATTAAAAATTTTTTTTAACTCAGATTAAATATTTGGGGCTTTTCTGTTTCACTTCTCCTCCGATGTTCTCAAAACATTGCAAGAAAATGTCTGTAGTTGCAATAAAAGTGACATTGTTCTTCCATATTTACCTCCAGGAAGCAGGTATTCTGTAGGAAGCTAAAACAGTGCTTTGTGCCCTGACAAGTGACTTGAGGTGCAGGTGAATAAACTTTGGTTCTTCACACGTTTCTCAGGTTGCCTTCTTATCTGTGCACTTTTTTTTTTTTTTGTCTCAAACTCAGTGATCCTCCTGCTTCAGCCTTCTGAGTGCTGAGATTACAGGTGTGCCACCACATCCAGCTAATCCATGTAATTCTAATGCCTTTCCATTTAAATAGGAATTGATGAGTAATTTGGAAGCAAAGACTGACTCCCAGTTGGCAGAGAGTTTGGTCTTGAGAGTATTCCACTGTGCACTAATCCTATCCACGGTCACTCCCTAGCAGCAGAATGGATTCCCTCCACTAAATACTGGAGCTGCCATTTTTCTTAATGTTCATCTGACTCGGTCATCTTACCACCCTGTACTGATTTCCTTGGAATTGAAACTGATAATTCTTGCTACCAACTACTTTATAATGAATATTAGTGAAATATGGATCCTTCTGAAGAGTTTGATCTCTATTAGAGGTACCCTGTAATACGATTGGCACATCATATAATTAATGATTTAGTTAGTAATTATATAATTAATTGGTACCACATAATTGATCCTGTTAGTTTAATGAACAATTTAGTATAGTTTAGACTTAAGTATCTTTGATTTGTTGTTGATGACCCCTCTGCTGGATTAGTCGATTCTTGTCCAAGTGATAGTGTCCATCAGTTACAGCTATAATGGCAATTTCCCTTGGTTCTTATAGACTGGAATAAAGCGTGAAGTTAGCCTTACTCCTAGTAATGCAGCAGTTCCTTTTGTCCAAGATAGCTGAGGAAATAACCACCACAATTCAAGCTTTCATTTATTACAGGAGAATATTTTCTCCTTTTCCCACATAACCTGAATTTTCGGTGAAGTGATGCTAGGAAGGAGTTGTGTAGCATTAATGTTTGATCCTTGCAGGGTTAGGCTACTTCCTGATGTTTATTAGATTATACCTTCACAATAAGCTTATTAGTATTTCTTCCCATGTCTTCAATGTTACTCAACAACAGCTGAAAAGCTTCATGGTTCCATAATTTATTTTTCCCCCTAAAGGAAATGAACTGAATAGAGACAAGGAATTAGATCATTTATGGTTGTCAGTGATAATTCACTAGTACTTAGGGTCCATACTCAGATTTCTGGTATATTCAGGTTTGAGGCTGTGCAGTATGTGCCAATTTCTTTCTTTTTTCCGGAAGTGGAGATTGAACTCAGCCCCTTGTGCTTGCCAGGGAAGCGCTTATTCCACTGAGCCATCTCCCTGGCCCTGCCAATTTTTATTTTAAATGCTTTTTTCCCACCTGTTTATTAGTCTAGGAAAATGGTTCCTTGGAGAAAGAGGGATGGAGCTCATGACAAAGTCAATTTTTACTTTAAATTACTTGAGGTTCCAGATTGTCAATTGTGCATTTCAACACGAATAGTGCAAAGAATTTGTATGGCTGTCAAAGGGTATTTCATTTTTGTATTCCTGGAAAAGTGAACTCACATGCAGAAGAGAAAACTCTAGTGGAGTCAGAAAGTCTGTATGGCATTCTTCTCCAATATTTGAAGGTGGAGAAAGGCATAAACATAAGATGATATGAACTAAAGCTTAAGCTTTATGGCAATACCTGGATTTTTAAAAAGGTTTCAGTACACTTTGTTTTTTCCCTTCAGCTTTTTAGTTTTTTGTGCAGAGCCTCACTATGCAGCTCGAACTTGTAGTGATCCTCCTATTTTTATCCTCCCCAGCACTGGGATTACCAAGGCGTGTGTCACCAAGCCCAGGCTCCTTGACCTCCTTAGCACATCTGGGGGTGGGACAAGCGTAGCATGTGCCAGCAGCCAAACCTTGGTCTCTGCACTTGCCTAAGCAGGCACTTTGTCCGCTGCCCATTTAGCTTTTTATATCAGCTCTTGGTATGAGAGACATGCATGTTTCACATCTACACTTCCTTCCTAGTGACAGTTAATTTAAAGCACTGTTATGTGCTTTATTTTTCTTCCTGTATAAGGTCATGATAGGGAATGCGGTATGTGATAAAAACCACATATTACTGTTCTAACAGGTGAAACACTGCACAAGGATAACCTTTGACATCAGCGCAGGTGCCACTGTAGTAGGCTAGGAGGGATAGAGAATCCCTGATAAAATCAAGTGGCTGTTACTAATCTTGCCAGGCTCTCACCTAATAGAATTGCCAAGATAAGCAAAGCTCCTAGGGATGGCTGAGCATGCTGTCTTAGTTATCATTATTTCAAACCCAATTAGGTTTTTTTGTTGTTGTTGTTGTTTTGTTTTTTTGGTGGAACCAAGGGTTGAACTCAGGCCCTTGCACTTGACGGGAAAATGCTTATTGCACTGAGCCATCTCCCTGGCCCTCAACCCAATTAGTTGCACATTAGGACTGCTTCACTTTGTACTGTGGGCATCTTCCTCCTATACCATAGAAACGCTGTGGCTAGAACAGCAGCATATTTCCATCACTTTTCAGGTAGAAACACAGGGTGTGTGTGTGTGTGTGTGAGAGAGAGAGAGAGAGAGAGAGAGAGAGAGAGAGAGAGAGAGAGAGGGAGGTGTATTAGCAACATTGCCATGGGGCTTTATGAGCAGAATATATTTATTGGGTTTTTGTTTTTTGTTTTTTTTTTTGGCGGAACCGGGGATTGAACTCAGGCCCTTGCGCTTGCGAGGGAAGCGCTTATTCCACTGAGCCATCTTCCTGGTCCGCCATGGGGCTTTAAAGCGTGCTCTCATGTGAATCCCTGACTTAGTACTGAGATCCGGAACCAGAAACAGTTTTCCTAAACCCAAAAAAAGTCATGCAGGCCTCGAGTAATAACTTGGTACTGCTTTCACTTGCCTTTTATTTCTGCAGTGTGGGTGGTGGAGGTAGAGAAACTCTCCTCATTGGTTGTCTCTGTGTCTCTTTCTCTCCTCAGATGCAGACAGGCACGCCGAACTATCTGGAAGTCCCCTGAAAGGCAAAAGCACTAGGAAGCCTTTGGCGTGTATCATTGGGTACTTAGGTGAGTTGTTTTTTTTTTTTTTTCTTTGCTTTTCTTTTCTTTTGGACACAACTAGGGATTGAACTCAGGTCCTTGTGCTTGCCAGGGAAGCGCTTATTCCACTGAGCCATCTCCCTGGCCCTACGTGGGTATTTTCTAATGGAGGAAAGGAAAAAGTAATTTCTTTATGTTCTACTCAGCCATTTCAATGAATACCTCAATTCAAGCTTTCCAAATGGGTGAAAATGAATATCTCTATGGCTTATTTTGGTTTAGAAACTCTTTTAATACTAATACACACATGCATGGAATTGTGGATATACACGTACATTTTGCAAAAAGTAATTGCAGGGGCTGGGGAGATGGCTCAGTGGAATAAACACTTCCCTGGCGAGTGCAAGGGCCTGAGTTCAATCCCCGGTTCCGAAAAAGAAAGTAATTGCATGAAAATTATTTTCATAGAAATAAATACATTAAGTGAAAAGGGGGAAAACTCATTTATTATTTACAGGATAAGTATTAATATTTTTATTTAGATCCTTAACAGTCATATCTTGGTACTTGGTACTTGACACATTTTGATGCAAAAATTTGTTCTGATACTTATCCTTGGGTACTCGGCCTGGAAGGTGGAACTGTTGGTGTTAGTTGCCCTGGGATTTGCCACCCTTCCCAGCCAAACCATTGATCTGTTTGGTATAGGTGGGTTTTGGTACTTATTGTGCCCCTCCGAACTGATCAACAGTGAGTCTTGGGCCGGGGGATAGTTTAGTGACAGCGGTGTAGCACCTGCCTGGCAAGCCCAGGTTCCACTCTCCCCACATATAAGCTCCAAACTGTTCTGTTTTTAGCTAAATCTCATCCCTGCATAGCTCAGAAGAGATGAGTTCTGGTGCTGCTGTATTTCTAATTTATATCACTCCTTGCTTGACATAGAGAATTGCTTTACTTGCCTTTTTTTTTTTTTTTTTTTTTTTGCGGAACTGGGGATTGAACTCAGGCCCTTGTGCTTGCCAGGGAAGCGCTTATTCCACTGAGCCATCTCCCCGGCCCAAAAGGCAGAAGGATTTTTCTTTTTTTTTTTTTCTCCGAATGCCTTCAGGGCAGGCTTGGCTGGCTTGAGTTGTGGGGATCGAACCACAGCCACCTGAGCCTGACAGCTTTGTGGAAGCAGCCACTTAAAGAACTGAGCTAGGGCCAGGCCCCCTACTTGCCTTTTTTTTACTTGCCTTTTTTGTTTTGTTTTTTGAGACAGAGTTTGGCTGTGTAATTAAGGCTGACCTTAAACTCACTCTATATCTATAGCCCAGGCTGGCCTTAAACTCATGTTGATCCTTCTGCCTCCTGAGTGCTTGGATTACAGGTGTGCAGCATCACGACTGGTTCTGTCTTTCTTTAAAAAGGAAAGGTCAGAGGTTGGGGAGATAGCTTGGACGGTCTAAGCACCTGTCTGGCAAGCACAAGGACTTAGTTTTGATCCTTGGGCCCACATGCTGTGTAGGCACCAGTACCCTGCATGCTCCGTTCTGCCCTGCAGCAGGCATGGTGGTGCCCACCTGTAATCCCCAGCACTGGGGAGGCTGAGACAGGAGAATCACTACAAGTCTGAGCTGCACAACAAGACCCTGTACCAAACAAGCAAACAAGTAAGTATAAAAAGAAAAGATCAAATTGACCTTTGCTTACATTTTCTAAGCACTGAACAGCAGAGTGTATAGCTCACAGGTAAGGCTCTTGCTTGCTGTGTGCAGAGCGCTGGGTTTGATCCCTAGCACCCAGCCCTCAGAGTTAGTTTTACTGTGCCAGTTGAGGCTCCTCTGAAGGGGAAGCAGCGTGTTTGCTCCTGGTTTTATTACACCAGCTAACTGAGAAATCTCCAAAGATACGGTTCCATGTGGAAGTATCACAATTAGGGATACTTTACAATAGGAATATTAAAATATTATTAAACAGTAAAGAGCTTTATGATGAAAACAGGTTATAAAACAGTGGGTCATCATACAACTAGAAGCAAGGATGGAATGATTTTGTGTTTCTAATATTTCTTTTGTACTCTCAGTAAAAGTGAAATATATACTGAGTTCTAGTAACCATATTGCTCTGTTAGGAAGAGCTATAGTTATGAAATATGCAGAATTTAGAATTCAGACTTGAAAAAAATTAAAATGGAACTTCTTAAACCTGGTATATTATCTGGTTCTCATTAGTGTTCCTGTACTCAAAAGCTCATAGTTCCTTCTTTGATTTTACTCTGCCACTTTCTTGTTTTACTTCTCTAGGGCCACAGAGTTTCTCTGATGCCCCCCATGTATCAAAAAGTTACACTTCTGGCCTACGTAGTGTGGTAATGCCCTTAACAGTGCTGTCTGTATTCCCCATTTTGCAAGGGATAGTACTTGGTCATAAAATTATAGAATATAATATTACCCTGTGGTCAGCCTTCCCATGGGTAACTGTGTATGTCTCTTGTGGGCAAATTGGCTTCTATCCCCACATATAAGCTCCAAACTGTTCTGTTTTTAGCTAAATCTCATCCCTGCATAACATACTTCTGAGTGTTTACTGTGTTCAAGACATCTGTAGTACATGATTTGGGGAACACCAAGATGAATCAGAGCTTGCTCTTACAAAAACTTTAGTGAACACACACTGTAAGAACAATAAAATGGGGGCCAGTGAGATAGCTCAGAGGTCTAAAGCCCCTGCTTAGGCAAGTATACAGGGACTGCAGTTCGATTCCCAGCACCACATGCTGTACCAGCCCCACTCCCAGGGTGGGCTGAGCCAGCCACACCAAAAAAAAAAAAAAAAAAACCAATAAAATTAAAGTTAGATGCTATTTTTAAAAAGTACAGGTTTTAGTAAGCATTGAGAATTTGGAGGGTGTGTGTGTGTGTGTGTGTGTGTGTGTGTGTGTGTGTGTTGCTGAGGCTCAAACCTAGGGCCTCACTTACACCAGGCAAGGGCTTTGCTGCTGAGCTATATCCCCATCCCTTGGGGAAGTTGTTTCTGATTGCTGTTAGGGTAGCCTACTTGAAGAGAATAATAATTGATCTCAGCCTTGAAAGATAAGATTTGAATAGGTGGAAAAATAGAAAATCAGTATTCCTTCATGACACCAAGAAAATTAGATGGACAAAGGCTTCAGTAAGCCTAAGAACCTGACAACTGCAGGGAAATAAATTGTCTGGTCTGGATAACTCTATCCAGGGCATGGCGGTTGTAAAGAAAAATGAGACTAGTAAACTTGTAATGTTATGTTAAAAAAAAAAAAAGTCACTATTTCAGGCATAGTACTTAAGGCATTCCTAAATTTTGAAAGTGCAAGATTTTGACAAGACCTAAATATAGGAATTGTAACAATTAAAATGGGTCTTTCTGAATATCTGTAAATCCAGCTGTCTTGGCCTTCATCTTGGGTGAGAAGTGGAACAGTGGCTTTGCACAGAGTTGGCAAACACGTTCAGACTGGAAAAGGTGTAGCTAGCAGGCTGAGGCCCTGATGTCATGGTCCCACAGGAGCTGTGCAGTTTCTGTCCATCTGTAAGAAGTGATAGTTCTGGGCTGCATGGCTCACAGTATGCTTGAACACACAGGAACTATGCTTCGCTTTTTAAAAATGTTTTTGGTCAAAGCATTTAACCTTTTATTTGACTATTAGGTGTGGACTGTGGCTTCATATTTTACATGTTATCAGAAATTCTGGGCTGGCAGTGATGGACCCTGGCCTGCACCCTGGTGGCAGACCCTGAGGAGGAGCCCCATTGTCATGTAGCTCACACACCAGATGTACTCCTACTGGATAGAGTGTGGAGGTGTTTTTTTTTTTTTTTTTTTTTTTTTCTGAAGCTACCTCTTCAGATAATCCTTTGATTTTTAATACCTTGAAGAGTCAGGTGCTTTATTCCCTTAGTAAATCTCACAACATAAGTGACCTTCTGAAGTGACTTTTTGTGTGTTTGTATTCACAACCTAATGCTCAGAGTTCTGGCCAGTGAAGAAAAATTGCTTACTTGATAGGCAAAGCCATGGCAGCACGACTTGAGAGCTGCTTCATTATGCAAGTCTGTGGCGGGCTCCCGAGGGCCCGACTTTCAGCTCATTAAGAAGTAAGATGTGTGCCATTTGCCGGTGTGAATACATAGAGATTTTAATATCACATTCTGAGTGCACAAACCTTTTTTCCCTCCTGTCAGAGATCCACCCTGCGAAGAAGCCTAATGTAATCCGATCTACACCAAGCCTGCAAACCCCAGCTACCAAGCGGATGCTGACCACCCCGAATCACACATCTCTGAGCATTCTGGGAAAAAGAAACTATAGTCTTCACAATGGCCTGGACGGTATGTAAACGCAGGAATACTGGAAGCTGCTCTGCTGGGCCAGGGTCCCTCTGCCCTAACTGTCTGGTCTAGGCACCCACCAAGCCTGAGAGTGTGTTACAGATTCTTCATGATTGATGTGAATGTGTGTGAAGGGGGTTAAGAGGGAAAACTGCCCTGCGCCGTAGTGAAGGCCCTGCCAGGTGCGAGTTCTCTGTCCTGCTGGGAGGGGCCTTTTGCTCGTGTCTGTTAGGAGCTTGGTTTGGAGATGAAGTCTGTTGATCAGGTCGCATCTGCTGGGTAATGATATTCTTGTGGAGATGCTCACTCACTGCTCATTTAAAATTTTCTTGAGCAGAAGGGATGATTCCTCCTGATGTCTAAGACATCAGTGCTCTCTGGGGGTTCTTCAATTTTCTGTGGATCATTTTGAGTTTGGAATTTGTACCCTGTTTCCTTCACCTTATAAAAATTTTAATTGCTCAAGAGTGCTACAGATCCTGAAAGGAATTGCCTGGGTGATGTACCAAACACAGAAATAATAATTTGTTCGAAATTGAAACACCGAGAAATATTACCTCTTACCCAAACTACTTTTCTTTGGCTTGGCCACATAAGGACTCTTCAGGTGGAATGAAATTATTTGACCATTTGGACTATAAACTACTGTAATAAGTCATCTAGGCAGTGTAAGTTGTTTATATCAGTAATCCTAGAATTTTGAAACTGTCTTTATTGTTGAAGTGTTGACATTTATGAATAAAACTTCAGGCTTTTCATGCCTTATGGAACTCTGAATTCCTTCAGTGACAGTAAATTGCTTATAACAAGGCCCTAGAGCAAGGATGTGGAATAACCTTCTGTGTAATAATTGCCCAGGGTTGCTTTCCTTCAATATGACTTTTGATGATGGTAATCATGTCAAAATGAGTAAAAAAAAAATAGGAGTGTTTAGTGTGGATTGATGAGGTCCAGTTGGCTGTGGATAATGACTTTCAAGAGCTGGCCACACAGCAGTGCTGCAGAAGTGCCTTCCTCATGCCTCCAGGTGCAAGGAAGGTTTGTGTCAATGTGTAGAGCCTGGATTTCTGTCCAGCTTTTGCTTGGATTCAAGCTTAAATCAAACCCAGCATCTTTTCCTCTTACTGCCTCCCTTGTGGAGAGTCCTGCTGCAGAAAGCATAGATGGTGGCTTGTTACATGTTTGCAAAAAGACTGGTGTCCTTTCTGATGCTGGAGGGATAGCTCTCTAGTGTCTTCCTCTCCCCCACACTGTGGCCATTGTGGACCTCCAGCCCAGCCGGGCATTGCAGCCTTTGCTGCCCATCAGCACCTGGTGCTCAGTATCAGTACCAAGGCACTGGTCTCCTCAGCATGTAGTGTTCCCTCTCTAGGCGTTTGTCCCATTTTCTTTAAGTGCCTGCTGCCGCAAGGCCGTTGCTTCTCTGCTTTGAGCGGGAGGACTGGCAGAGCACTCAGGACTCCCTGGTGTGACGCTGACTTGTGGGCAGCAACTGTGGTCTCACTTTCTCTAGCAACCCCGCTGCTGACACACTTCTTTCTCCATCACCATTTGTCCTTGCTGTGCCATCACCATATAGAAAGGAAAGCTGGGACGGTATGCCCTGCACCTCGCTCACCCCTAGTCGGTGTTGCCTCCTGCAGCTCTTGTGACAGAAGACCTGCTGAGTCAGGGGATTTGTTTTGTATACCACTGTACCTCTGCATAGCCCAGAGCCTGTACCAAGTAGGCACTAGATTTCAATAGTTGTGTAAAGGAAAGTGATTAAGGAACATGAGAACCTAGAGAAGTGAATTAAAATTCCCATCATTAGTGGGTAAGACCTTGCATGCCATGTGGTAGAAAAATATAGTAAATATTGAATTTTTAAATGTATTACATAGAACCAGTTACTCTCCCTCAGAACACACTCTTCCCACCCCCAGCTGTACTGTCGTGCCTGCCCCAGTGTCTGAGTTGATTCATTCACCTTGCATGGTCATTTTGACTATGGGGAAGAACCAGAAATCACATATTCCGGATGCAGTGAGCGAATGAGTGGCTGAGGACAGACCGTGGTGTTTTATGAGCCTGCCTTTCTGTTGGATGGCAATTGGCAGCAGCATTCACCATTTCTGATCATACCTCATCAAGCTGTGAAAGAGGGCTTCCAGAATTGCTCCAGAGGTGGCAAGAACAGTGGAATGAGCTTATGGAGCACTTGGGGGCTTGGGTGGGGTGTTAATGAATATCAATGTGTATTTTATTGTAATTTTTGAAATTTAAGCATTCACCATATATCATATTTTGATCACTACCTATAGATGGGTTGGGATTTTTACTTGTGACTAGTTTCAGAGTCTATCTTTTTTATGGACAGGGTCTCGCTATGCAGTTCAGGCTGAACTTGAGCTCACTGTGTAGCCCAGGCTGGCTTTGCGCTTGTAATCCTCCTGCCTCAGACTCCCGGGTGCTGGGATTACAGGCATGCATCACCATTCTCAGCCCAGAATCTGTTATTCACAGCTATTATAGGTTATGCTTGGCTCTTTTTTTTTCCCATAATTTTATTTATTTATTTATTTTGCAGAACCGGGGATTGAACTCAGGCCCTTGCACTTGCTAGGGAAGTGCTTATTCCACTGAGTCATCTCCCCGGCCCCCCTTTCCCATAATTTTATTGAGAAACAAATAGCAATGAGACCGTTTCAAACCAAATTGGTAGGACAGTTTCAATAATTAACACACTCTTCCTAATGGTTAATTGCTGTACAAGATGTGGACATGATATTCTATTTACAAACACCATTAGAACAAATCCCTCTATTCATTAAGAGAATGTAACTAAATATCTATCCTAACCACTTTGAATACACAGATACAAAATGGACATTCATCCCCTTTTTTTGTTCCGTTATTTGAATATTATAGGTGTGTTAACTCAGCAAAATATTCCAAGAGTCCAGTAACCCATAATAGTATTGGGTCTTCCGCTTGACTGGCAATGTCAGAAATCGTTGACCTGAGATAACAGCATGGCTTT